TCGTGGGAGCATCTGGAAGTGTTTTCCTAAAGGGAGTGGAGGCTGTTACAGCTGACGACCATGCAGATCTGTCAATTTGTTTAATCTCCACTTGAACTCATGCTCACCCAGTAAATCTAATATAAACAGGTTATGTCAAAGTTGTTGTCAGTGTACTAAAATGAAGAAAATACCTCTGGCATCACATGTCAGAGTCTAATTGGTTTTGTCTCCTGTAAAAGCCTGCAGCAGGTCTGAAACCCTCACGTCTCCTGACTGTCCTAATTTGGTCTCTATCTGACGTGCAGCATCAAAGTGCCTCCATTGGAAGTCATTTAGAGTGAACACCCTTGACTTTGCTCCCAGAAGATAATGTAGATTAGATCAAGGCTACTGACTCATCCTAGCCTGGGATCATTTGAAATATCATTATCCCTAAATCTGGAACACAAACTTCTCTAGTTTTGTAGTACATTTTTGACATTTACAAAAACGTTTTTCATTCATTTAGGACATTCCAAGGTCTTGTGTTGTTGAATGCTGAATAGATGTCTTGTTATTCACACAATGGAAATGGAAAATAATGTTTATTTTCTGTCTTCATATTGGTTTTCAATGTGAATACAAACAATCCATCCTGAACTAGAGCAAATATTTGACCTGAGCTTCAAGGAAGTCGAGTAAATTCTCCATTTATGGTTTTCATTTATGGACCAATCACAGAATTACGACTTAATGACAAGATGAGGCAGACACACACACACACACACACACACACACACACACACACACACACACACTACACAACCCTTCATGTAAATATGTTTCTGAGAGGCTGGTTCTAAACAAGCATGACATTTCCAAACCACGAAATTAAAAAAAAAAAAAAAAAATCAGGAATTTGAGGATTGTTTCACAGGGGTTTGAGGTTATGGGTGAATGAACCAAATACTATAAATGTGCAATGTTTCAGCAAGATGCTGATCCATGCAGCAACAGGAAGAAGCATTGAAGAAGGTCATTTAAGCTTGAGAGAGCAGGAAAAACAAAGAAATGATCTAAAAAAGAGGCTCCTCCAATCACAGTGTTCAAATGACGAGCACCCTCCACCCAAAGGTGTGGCGTAATTGCGAGTGGGAGCCTCTGGGGGGCCATGGGAACTGGGATGGGATTATTTATAATGGGTGTGGAGGGAGTTTGGTAGGGACCACTTCCATAAGACTTCAGAGGAATGCTTAAGGTCGACCTCTGGCCAAAACTTCTGCAGGAGGTTAAAAGGGTAGTGAAGGCTGACGTGGGACATCTACAGAGACGAGGACTCAAACCTAATTGGTTCTGGCCAGCAGGCCCGGCAGGAACAGGAAGGAAACCCGGAGCACAACATTTTTTTAATGTCAGAGGAGGAACAAATACAGCCACTTAGTGAGAGGCTTTAGAAAAAGTAGAGAGTATTTCACTGACGAACAGATGATCCAGGAAGCAGGTAGTTTAAACCGGTTGTTTCTGTTGTCAGACATTTAAAATCTATATATAGGTTCAAACTCCAGACAAGACATTCAGTTAAAGTATTATTACTAAAGACGCTTTGTGGTGTGGCATCTTCTCAATCAGACTGTGCCGTTGTTGTTTGTGCATAGTTTGTTAAATAGAACAACAACAGGTGTCGAGGTGACATTGTTTCATTGGGTGTGTGTGTTGTGTATCATAGGTTATTATTTATAACAATAACAGAAAACACTTCTAGGTATGAAATTATAGCTCCCGACAGATGCTGAAGCCGTCTTTGTATGAACATACTCCACATTAACAATAGAAGGATTTGACCTCTACAGGACCTTTGTTTGATTATTGTAGTCTTTCAGAGTTAATGCCATAATAACATTGGCTGCGACCAGAGCTACTTCACTGTCTGGTTC